GAACCAGTCACCATTTTTTTTAAGTTGGTAGGATGGGCCATGTTGAACACAAACTGCATTTTAGAAATTTTATCAGCATGCTCTATGAACTTGCTTCTCAAACTGGAATATTAAGGTATGTATGTGTTTTTACCAGGGAGTATGGGAAGCTACGCATAAAAGTATTACTCTTTTAAAGCACCATTTCCAGTTAAAGGTTGATAAGGGTGGAAATACGAAGTACTTTACTTTTTCAGCATTGAAAAATTTTTTTATATTGAAACTAAATGATTCTTAAGAGGCGCAAAGAATTTCACTTATATAGTGGTTGACCATCCTAGAGACCATGAAGGTTGTATTAATTCATTCCATGGAAAACTTTGTATCTTGGAAAATTGTGAGATTAGTGAACGTATCATACCAAAATAGTAAACAAAAACAAAACCTTGCTGGGTTACTGAAAAAAATGATGTTACCAAAGGCACATCTTGCCTTAAATCCTATGTTTTAATTTTTTTTTTCATCTTAACAAACCCCGCTTTTAAATAAATCCTTAGTAAAATGCAGATTTATTTGGGGTTATTAATTTATAACAGGATTGATTGTGATACTCCTTTAAATAGCTTGCTTCTTCAGTTTACAAATGTTCATTATATTCATAATGTTCAGGCCCCTGCAGGGAAAGCTGGTGGTAGATTTTTAGTTTTTTTTAACATTACAAAACATTCTGGTAAAGACATTAAAAGGTTATAAGTTGGGAAACCTGTATAGCCAGTGTGTTTTTTAGGTTGGCATGTATAAGCAATATTGATGTAATTTTCTTTTGTTTCATTCTAAATACTGAGCTTAGGGATTGAATTTGCCATCTGTTTTTTATTATTAAGTATGACCATTAAAACAAGAACATTTGATTTGTAGAGTGACATAAATGTATTCTTTGGAGTATCCAGATGGAAATTGTGGCACCATACTTTTTTATTTCAGTGACTTCAGAAAGAAGATAGGGTTTAGGAGGGTATCTGGGGAACCTTTCAATAGGGTAATTGTGGGGATAGCAAATTAAGTACAGTCATGTGTTGCTAACAACAGGGATACATTTTGAGAAATGTGTGGTTAGGTGATTTAGTCATTGTACGAACATGGTAGAGTGTTAATTTACCACAAATTGAGATGGTTTAGCCATCTATCACACACCTAGGGTGTATGGTTATATATAGCACAGCCTGTTAGTCCCAGGCTACAAACCTATACAGCATGTTACTATACTGAGTACTGTAAGCAGTTCTAACACAGTAGTATTTGTGTATCTAAACATAGAAAAAGTACAGTAAAAATATGGTATAAAAGAAAAAATGGTACAATGTTTTTTTAGCTTAATCTTTTCTTTTTAAAATATTATTTCAAGAAGTTTTTGGGGAACAGGTGTTTGGTTACATGAATAATAAGTTCTTTAGTGGTGATTTCTGAGTTTTTGGTGCACCCATCACCTGAGCAGTGTACACTGTACCCAATGTGTAATATTTTGTCCCTCACCCCCCTCCCACCCAAAAACGGTATACTTGTTTAGGACAGTTAGCTTTCAGGACTGAAAGTTGCTCTGAGTGAGTCAGTGAATGAGTGGTGAGTGAATGTGAAGGCCTAGGATGTTACTTATAAGATTTTATAATCACTACACTTAGGCTATACTACATTTGTAAAAAAAAAAATAAATAATTGTGCTATGACATTATGACAGCTACAGCGTCACTAGGCAATAGGAATTTTTCGGCTTCGTTATGACATTATGGGAACACTGTTGCATATGTGGCCTGTTATTTATTGAAATGTCGTGTGGCGCATGATTTTAGTGGGCATGCTATTTGGGAGTGTATTTTCTTTGTGGAATTTGCCATCTAATAGCAGAGAGAAGTATAAAACATTTTCTTTTAGTAGAAAGTTAAGTCAGAGGCTGGGCGAGGTGGCTTACACATGTAATCCTAGCACCGTGGGAGGCCAAGGCAGGCAGATCACCTGAGGTCAGGAGTTGGAGACCAGCCTGGCCAAGATGGCGAAACCCTGTCTGTACTAAAAATACAAAAATTATCTGGACAAGGTGGTGTATGCCTCTAATCCCAGCTACCCAGGAGGCTGAGGCAGGAGAATCACTGGAACCCTGCGGGGCTGAGGTTGCAGTGAGCTGAGATTGTGCCACTGCACTTCAGCCTGAGTGACAGAGCAAGACTCTGTCCTCCCTAAAAAATAAGAAAAGTCAGAAAAAGTATACTTTGTTCTTTTGGTTTTAGTGTGATTTAGATTTGAATGAAGAAGAAAAATGGCAGTTGGTAGAATTGGTGTCGTTATCAGGTTTCAGATTCTTAGTTGGAGTTTTCTCATTTGTCACTATATTCGTTGTTCATCCAAACATGTTTAATTTACCTCATCTGTAAAACTGTTTAGATTGCAAATTTTCATAATGTGGCTAATTACTTTTATAATGATGAATATTTAAAACAAAATAAATTATGATAGAGGAACTTGTATCTTGAAGTTTCCTGTGCTTTAAGTAGGAGATGAACTGGAAGTATAAATTAAATTGTTTGAGAGTTTTTTGGTTTTTCTTTTTGCTTGATAAACAGGAAATTCTGGATATGCGATAGTAAATGTTTGAGGCTTGTCTAACAAAGTGCTCCATCAGTTTTCTGTCCTTGCTATTTTGGAGGGGAAATTTTTTGTTTTGAGGATATAATTTCTATGATATGATAAATACCATAATAAAAAATGGCAAATATGATAATATGAGTCCAGATTGCAATGGGAAAGAAATGTAGGAATTAGAAAAACATCTATAGCAGCTCTGGAAAACAAGAAAATATGAAATCAATAAACCAGAAAATATTCAGGCTTTCTAGAAAGATGTAAGGCAGACAAGATTAAGTTACTGAAAACCATTAGTATTAAAACAGCTTGTACCACACATAAGGGAAAGTATCTGGTTTCTGAGTAGAAAAGTAGACTTGCTTACAAATTCACCTAGCTTAGAGATGACAGGGCTAGGGCAGAGAAATGGCCCTGTGAGCAGTATCAAGGTGATTAGAATACTGCAGAACTGATGAATATTGAAGAAAAATCTCTCTTGCTTTTTTTTTTTTTTTTTTTTTTCTTTTTTTTTACCACATTTAAGGGCAAAGCCTACTCATAAAATCTGATAGCCTTCCATTATGGGGTTGACGGAGATGGAGGAGACTCTTGAGGGAAGTAAAGCAGTGACTTGCACCAGCCGTCAGTATAGAACAATCTGGATTTAAAAAGACGAAGACAAAGAAGAAACACTGGATATTACAGGAAAACTTAACTGTAAAAGGGAGGACTTGTACTAAAGCAAAGGAAATTGCTCAGAGAGAATAGTTTATATAGAAAATAACAACATTTTTAGTTAGGAAGATACAGTGTTGAGAAAGGAACAATGAACAAGAAATTCTTGACAATTAAAAATATCATTGCCAAAAAGTCAAAAAGTAGAGAAGGTTGTAGAACTGTAATCCCGGAACTTTGGGAGGTCAAGGTGCGGGGATCACCTGAGGTTGGGAGTTTGAGACCAGTCTGACCAACATGGAGAAACCCTGTCTCTACTAAAAATACAAAATTAGCAGGGTGTGGTGGTGCATGCCTATAATGCCAGTTACTGAGACAGGACAATCTCTTGAACCCAGGAGGCAGAGATTGCTGTGAGCTGACATCGTGCCATTGCACTCCAACCTGGGCAACAAGAGCGAAACTCTGTCTCAAAAAAAAAAAAAAGATCCAGAACACTAAGTTGATTCCAAAGCTGCTCTCAGAACATTTGTTGATCTCTAGAGGCTTGCAGTTAAAGGCCACATGAATTTGAGGATAGAGATCTTTGAGCCTTCATTAGATGAAGAGTTAGAATTGAGAACCGTGCAGTGGAAAAGCATACTCAAAGTGCATTTTCCTATTCTTATACTCAACAATTAACACAGAAGACGTCTGTGATCTTGAAATATGTGGGATTTCTCCTCACCAGCAAGTGAGCAGTCAGTTCTGCAGACACCAGCTGGTGTCATCCAATTCAATTCTTTTTTTTTTTTTTTTTTTTTTTTTTGAGACGGAGTCTTGCTTTGTTACCAAGCTGGAGCGCAGTGGTGCGATCTTGGCTCACTGCAACCTCCACCTCCTGGGTTAAAGCAATTCTCCTGCCTTAGCCTCCCAAGTAGCTGAGACTATAGGCTCGTGCTACCATGCCTGGCTTATTTTTTGTATTTTTAGCAGTGACAGGGTTTCACTGAGTTAGCCAGGATGGTCTTGATCTCCTGACTTCTCGATCCACTGGCCTCTGCTTCCCAAAATGTTGGGATTACAGGTGTGAGCCACTGCTTCCGGCCCCTTTTTTTCTTTTAGAGACAGAGTCTCGCTTTATTGCCCGGGCTGGATTACAGTGGCACAATCTTGGCTCACTGCAACCTGTAACCTCCGCATCCTGGGTTCAAGCTATTCTGCCTCAGCCTCAGTATCTGGGAATACAATACAGGCACATGCTACCATGCTTGGTTAATTTTTGTATTTTAAGTAGAGATGGGATTTCACTGTGTTGGCCAGGCTAGTCTTGAACTCCTTACCTGAAGTGATCTGTCTATCTCATCCTCCTAAAGTGTTGGGATTATACGTGTGAGCCGCTGCGCGTGGCTCCTCCAATTCAATCCTGACACTACCTACCTGAAGACAGCATCAAATCCCACAAGTTGAGGGCTCAGTCCCACAAAACTGCCCACTACTTCTGATGCCAGTTGCAAGCCCAGGTGGTGGTGGTTCTTTTCTTTTTTTGAGACAGGATCTTGCTCTGTCACCCAGGTTGGAGTGCAGTGGTGTGAACAGAGGTTACTACAGCCTCAACTTTCTGGGCTCATGTGATCCTCCCACCCAAGTAGCTGGGACTACAGGTTCACATCACACCTGACTAATTTTTAAATTTTTTGTAGAGATGAAGTCTTACCATGTTGCCCAGACTGGTCTCAAACTCTTAGGCTCAAGCAGGTCCTCCCACCTTGCGCTTCCAAAGTGCTGTGATTCCAGGTGAGAGCCACGGTTCCTGGCTCCCCCAGGTTGTTTTACCTGTGCTTCTGACTGACCAGCTATACATCAGGGATCCCACATCTTTTCCTTGGTTTCATTTAAGTTGATGAAGTGGCTTACAGAACCCAGGGAAATACGTTTACCCTTTTATTGTAAAGGATATCACAAAGGATATAGCTGAAGAGATGGATAGGGTAAGGTATAGGAAGGGGCATAGAATTATGCCTTCTCTGAGTGTGTCACCCTACAGGAACCTTTATGTTTTCAGTTATCTGGAAGCTCTCAGAAGCCTGTCCTGTTGCTACTTTTATGAAGACTTCATTGGATAGGCATGACTAAAGAAGTATGGACAACTGTCTAGAAATGTGACTGAACAAAAAGGGTCTGAGCTAATACTAACAGACTGAGTAGGAAAACCTAGAAAGGCCATTTCAGATTCTTCTTAGCCTCTCTGTGCACTGTTAATTTCTCCAGCGTATGGGAGAACCCCTTCTGATTGTTACCTGCAATTGGACAATGTAGGTCAGAGAGTTTCTTTATGGGCAGCTGCAAGATGGAAAGGCAGGGGAAGATTCCTGCCTTGGGGAGAAAAAGGAGCAGGTGAAAGGAAGGCAAGAGAACGTCAGAGAGACTTTCTTCTGAGGCCTGCTTCTGAAGGCCAGTATATAACAAGGACTGTGAGTGTTACGAAACCGGAACCATGGGCGAAAACCTGTATCATCTGTCTATCTTTCACAACTGCATATAAAGCCAGGATTTTTCACAATAAGGCTTCAGTGAAAGGGCGCCTAGAAAATTAAATTTATTTTCCATGATAAAGACATCAGAGAAGTTTTCTTCTCTTGGGCTTTTGGTATGAGACTGAAAAGTTTCCACTGAAAACTTTTGAACATTAGTCTGACTTCATAAGGGTATGGGATTGTAACTTATACTACCTGAATAGTTTAGGAAACTAGAGACAGATAAAATTATTTAAAAGCAGTCAAATAAATGTTGGCAGTGCTACAAAGCACCTAATAGAAAAGTGAATTCTCTTCAGAGGGATGCTCCTTCAAATATGCCTATTGATAGAGTCTAAATGAAGTGTTTTCATATTCCAAGATTACAAAAATATGAGAAACTCAGCAATCATGAACAAGAGTGAGCAGGAAAGACAGATAGCAGAATTTGACCTCTGCGAATGTGAGATTTTGAAATTACTTGATAAGGCAATGGACTATAAATGAACAAAATGTTTCAAAAGAATTAAAAGGGAGGGGGGAGTTAAAAACATCAGCAGGGAGCAAAATACTGTTAAAAAAATACCAGGTAGATCTGAAAAATAATAGCACTTCTAGAAATTAAAAATATAATAATGAACTTGAAAAATATTAAATGGGTTAAGTAGATTGAACTCAGTTGAACAGAGAATTAATGAACTTGAAGACAGATTTGAAGAAAACCCAGATATGGAAACATGAAAGAGATGTTTAGGGTCAGAGGAATAAATGTCTAATGTATATGAAATTGGAATTTCAGAAAAGAAAAATGAAGGGACTGACAGTTGGTGTCCAAAGAAAGAATGACTGAGAAGGTCCCAAAATTAAAGGATGGGACTCATTAGAATGAAGAAGTATGATTAATGCAGAGGAAGAAAAGTAATTGTATAATACTGAAAACTAAGAGAACCTTTTTTTAGCAGCCAGAAACAGATTATCAACAAAGCTATAGAAATTAGACTGGCAGCAGACTTTTAAACTATAACAATACATGGTAGAGATCGTAGAGTTAGGCCATCAAATGCTTAGAAAAACAAATGTCATCCTAGAGATAGTAATTGGCAAAATCATTCAAAAACAAGGATTTTGAAATAGATTTTTCAGACAACATCAGGTTGATAAATGAAAATCTGACTACATTGTGTTGGTGAGTATGTGGAACAATGGGAACTGAGCTGGTGGCAGTATAAACAACTGCTTTTGAGAGTAATTTGGTAATGTCTAGTAGGTTTCAGTGTACATTTCTCCAGTAATCCAGGAGTTCTACTCATGCATACATATATATCTTAGCATTGTTTGTTGATCTGTTTTCACCATGATATAACTGAGATCACATTTTTGGTAAACAAAATTTATTCTTCCTACAGGCAGTACCTTTGATCTGTCTCTGTGCCTCATCACTTCGTTCACCTTTTTTTCCCCCTTGACTCCCATCATTCTCTCTCTTTTTTTAAGCTGTTTGTGCTCCTGGCTCACTAATGTGATATTATTGATGGGTTACAAACTGCAGTTTGGAAAACACTGCCTTAAATAAACAAAGAGAACAAAGATAGTGATATTCATAGGAATATTGTATATAAGAATGAAAAACTTGAAGCCATGTTAATAAGCTCAAACAAATGGAAAATGGGTAAATAAACTGTGGTATATCTAAGGATCTTGAATTAGAAATTATAATAAATCAGTGAATTACAATGCCTATATTCAATGAACACCCTTACAAATACAATGTTGAGTATATAAGATGAATTGCAGAAGAGTATATAGTATGATATTCATATGAAGCTTAAAAATGCAAAGCAATTGTATATAATTTTATGAGTATACACATATATAAAAACATATAAAGAAATTCATGGAAATGATAAACACCAAACCCTGGGAGTGAAAAAGAAAGGTATTTCTGTTATCTAGATAATACTTTTTTTTTTTTTCTTTAAGCTAGGTCGTGAACACTAAGGTGTTTATTAAATAATGTCTTATACTCCTGTGTATATCTAAAATATTTTAAAGAAAAATTTTTAAAATGGAAGTGGCAATATAAACAAATTGAAATTTCTCAGAAAATACAGCAGAAAGAGTTGAACATTATGAGAGAAAAGTTTGAGACCTGTAGAATAGATCTGGGACATCAGTATGTGTGAAATAGGAATTCCAGAAATAAAAATTATACTGCATGTGGCAGAAATAGATAATAAAATGGTAGTATAAATTTGTTCTAAGCTGAAAAAACCCTTAAAATAAGGCCTACAAAATCACATTTTGTAAAATCAAATATTTGTAAAACTTCAAAATTTCAAGTATCAAAAGAAAATGAAGTTCCCAGATAAACAGCAGGTATACCCTAACAAACAATCAGATTGACATATGATTTTTTTTTTTTTTTTAATGCTGCACTGGATACTAAGGAACAGTAGAAACATTCCTGTAGAATTCTGAGATACAAGTACTGTTAACGAATGTCATGGGTTTTTGTCTAGGTCCTGTTGCTCACTACACAGAAAGTCAGTTGCTGAGATAATGATTATTGCCAAAGAAGAAGGCTTTAATCCCCTGTTGCTGAGGAGACAGGAGATCAGTCTCAGATCCATCTCCCTGATAGACTAAAACTAGGGGCTTATATAGCAGGGAAGGAATGTAACAATATGCAAGAAAACAGGAATTAGAGAGGGGCAAGGAAGCAATCATGATGAATGAGGAGTCTGGTATCTAATTGTCTGGTTGTGGTGATCTGGTGAGTTTCAGTTATTTGATACTTTTTTGGGGAGGCCTGAAAGTCATTTCCTTAGGAAGGAACTCAGATAAAACAAATAGAATTTTCAGGCTTCAAGACTAGAGGATCAGTTTCTATGTTTATTTAAACACACACACACAAAACAAAACAAAAGCTATCTGTGGGACTGTTGGGTCAGTTTCAGTATTATGGCCCTAAAGGCCTTTGTGCAACAAAACTATTCTTTGAGGATAAAGGCAAAATATATTATTTCCAAAGGACTGTGAACCTATAATACTTAAGCAAAATGAAATGAATCAGAATGGAGAATTCTGGACCAAAAAAGCGAAAGGTTTATGTTAAGCATTTGTGAACAAAAACAAGAAGCCAAAACCCAAACAGTAACATTTAAGGTTAAATATAAAGAATTATTTAAAATGTACTTTGAAGTATAATGTAATTTTTGAGAAAATATTCCTGATATGATGGAGCTTATGAAAGAAATGACAATTGGGAAATAAAATTCTAGGTAATTTAATACAAGCTGTGCTACAGCAAGTGGGAGTGGAGCAAAGATGGGAAGGTAAAAGAATACTATGGATGGCATACTATGCAAAGAGTTTCTATGCACAGGAATGAATATTTTATACTTCTTGATGTTTTTGACAAAATACAGACTGAAATACGTGTTGAAAATTTGAGACTTTTCTTAAAAGAAGGCAAATGATCAACTCACTCAAACTTTCTCATACCTGTTTGAAAGAACTAAAAATGTCTTTAAAAACAAACAGGAAAAAAAGCCTGTAACAGCATTGGGTATTAAGAAAGAGTGACATTGGTGCAGCAAACTTGGGGGAATTCCCTGATGATAGAAAGTAGATGGACTGATAGAGGCAGAAGAATAAGAGCAGAGAAGACCAAAACTGAAAGTGAAAACTTCCTGAAGTTCAGTGGACCTCAAAGAACTCTATTTGTGTTAACAATTTGAAAGAACTGGAGTGGATGGGAGGTGGTGATGTGATCATCAGAGTAATTAATTTAAAAACTGCCTGTAGGCTGGGCACAGTGGCTCACACCTGTAATCCCAGCACTTTGGGAGGCCAATCTGGGTAGGTCTCCTGAGGTCAGGAGTTTGTATTCACCTTGCCAACATGGTGGAACCCTGTCTCTACTAAAAAAAAAAAAAATACAAAACTTAGCCAGGCCTGGTGGCGAGCACCTGTAATCCCAGCTACTTAGGAAGCTGAGGCAGGAGAATCACTTGAATCCAGGAGTCAGAGGTTACAGTGAGCCGAGATTGCATCACTGTACTCCAGCCTGGGTGACAAGAGCAAGACTTTGTCTCAACAAAAACAAACATAACAAACCGAGGCTGGGCATGGTGGCTCACACCTGTAATCCCAGCACTTTGAGAGGCCCAGGCAGAGGGATCACCTGAGGTCAGAAGTTCAAGAGCAGCCTGGCCAATATGGTGAAACCCGTCTCTACTAAAAATATAAAAATTGGCTGGGCATGGTGGTAGGTGCCTGTCATCCCAGCTAATTGGGAGGCTGAGGCAGGAGAATCACTTGAACCTGGTGGGCGGAGTTGCAGTGAGCCAACGTCACATCACTGCACTCTAGGCTGGGCGACAAGCAAAACTCCATCTCAAACAACAACAACAACAACAACAACAACAAAAACCAAAACTGCCTGTAGTAGCTGGATTCTTCCCTTCCTCACTTCCTCGTTCATACTGAATAATAGTAGCAGGATATTTTTCTCAAGGATAGAGTCATGGCTTCTGTTCTGCATATGATGATTCTAGAGAAGGCTTCTGTTACATGTGTTGGGGTTGGAAAGAGCCTGATAACTCTATAACTCTATCAGTAACTCATGGGAAGAAGGAAAGGAAAGATGGCTCTGTATGTGTGTAATACATGAAACACTCTATCTCAAAAGTAAAGCCTTCCTTATATTGGTAGTCTTGGGGGTTCCAGCCCGTAAATCTGCTTTGTGAGCACACACTCTAAAACATGCTGCTTGATGTGTTCCACCCACATTTAGTGTGAAATATGCTCTCCCATTCAGGGGAGATGCTTTCAGAGAGGGACATATACTGTAGAAGTATAGGAGAAACCCAGACCAGTTAGATTGTTCTGGAATACTATTCACAAATTTGGCTATCAAGGATCACCATAAAACCAACTATACCAAATAGAAAGTGAACTAAGGAAAACCTGACCCCTGGAAAATGAGAATGATACCAGAAATACATTGAACTTAAATGTAATTTATATCCTCAGATTTCAGAGGACAAGGTAGCTAAAAATCCAAATCAGGCTATTCTGAAAGAAGCAATAGGTGAAGTTCTCAGAAACTAAAAATCTGATGGTTAAAATTAAAAAAATAAAGAAGTACTGAAAATTGAATCAGTGATTTAGAAGTAAAGTTGAAGAAACATTCTAGAAGCTAAAGAGAAAAAGATGGGGATAAGAAATATGAACAAATGATTAAGTGACATGGGGCATGGAACCAGGTATTTTAATCTTTAGAGGAGGGGGAGACAGGAGGAGGGGAGAAAAGAAGTAACAGAGCACAGTACCTAATGCCATGGTGTGTTACATAAATATTTAAAGAGATGAGTGAGATTTTTAAATACTTGTGAAAAGATGGTCAGGATATATTAAGTGAAGAAGGAGGTTGTGAGAGCAGTATGCATAGTATGGTATTTGCGGTTAAAGGTATATGCATATTCAAATGTGTATAAGAAAGAATGAAAGGATATGAAGTACTAATAATGGTTACGTTTGGGGAAAGGATGGAAGAATGAGAGAGGAATTATTTTTAAATATATAATGTTATTTTGAAAAGAACACTTTTATTTTAAAAAATGAAAGAACTCAAAGTTATGTTGGAGAGGAAGGGAGAAGAGCAACATGAGGGTAGAAGTCCTTACCCAAATAAGCCATTTAAATTTACACATAATCTCAAGCCTATAGTTTTTTTTTTTTTTTTTTTTTATAATAACATGTACTTTTCTGTTGCTTCTTAGTAACTATCTCCCTCCCCTATTATTCCTGGACGCTCACAGAAGTATATTTTCAGACATTTCTCTGAACCTTCCCTTTTACCCAAAGTATGATGGGAGTGGGGGTGTGACTGATAATTCCCTTATTGCACGTGGATTTTGTGAGAGATGATATAGATGGGAAGAATAACTTAAGAGTGTCTTTAAATTCTAGATATTGGTTTATTAATAAAGAATAGTATGAATCCATCTTTTGTGGAATGAGTCAGCATATAAATAAAATAATGAATGGTAAAGAGAAAAAACGAGAATAATATATTCAAGAGGTATATCCTGGTGGGTATTTTTGAACTGAGAGTAGGAACTGATTGGTATCAGAATAGTAACGTGTAAGTATAATCACAGAGGTTTGAAGTGGTATTCTGGACCACTTGAAAGGCTCATCCTGTTTGTGAGGAGATGGATATGATCCTTGGTTTCAATATGCCACATCTACTATAAACTTCTGAACCCTCCACCATCATTCAGGATGCATCTCTCATGGTTGAAGAAGTGGTGGAGGATGGCATAGGAGAGAGTGCCTGAGGATCCTTGCCTGGAACAAGTTATGGAAAGAAAATCTTTCAGGTATTCTTCTTACATATTTTACTTGGTTGCTGTGTTTTTATGGGATAAAATAGTTCTCTTTCTGGAGAGAGTGGGTTGGCGGGGGTTGGGAGGAGGGAGTTGGATGGGTTGGAGTAGAGCAGTGGTTTTCTTTTCCAAGGGTGGTAGAGGAATTAGGAGAGAACAGTAGTGTCTTTCTGTCTTTTTTGTTTTTCTGTTCTTGGACAACTTTTCTGTCATCTTCATAAATAAGTTGTATCAGAGTTCTTGAATTGCAGACTCACTTATGTGATAATATGATTCATCAGAAACATTTAGATACACAGCATGCTGACATAATAGTATTAACTCTCAATAACTCTTAGAAACCAATGGGAAATGTTTAGATCTGTGAATTGTACTAAATTTTAAATATTTTGAATATATGCTTACAAATCTTATTTGTAACTAACTTGTTGATGATTTCTTCTTTGGTTATGTTAATTAGCTATTTAACCATTTGACATTCTGATTTATTTCTCAGGCTTGAAGATGTTAACACTGCTATGCATTTTAATTAAGTAGTTAATTAACTGACACTCCCTAAGTCTTAAGTTCCTGATTTTTCTCTAGAATACCAGAAACTTAAGTGCCAAGAGCTTAGAGAATGGCTTCCAGGACAGCTCTAGCTCTACTGCAGCTTAAAAAATTACAAGCAGAGGCTGGGCATGGTGGCTCACGCCTGTAATCCCAGCACTTTGGGACTCCTAGGTGGATGGATCACAAGGTCAGGAGATCGAGACCATCCTGGCCAACATGGTGAAACCCCGTCTCTACTAAAATACAAAAAATTAGCCGGGCGTGGTTGTACGCGCCTGTAGTCCCAGCTACTCGGGAGGCTGAGGCAGGAGAATCACTTGAACCCGGGAGGCTGAGATTGCAGTGAGCCAAGATCGTGCCACTGCACTCTAGCCTGGTGACAGAGACTTTGTCTCAAAAAAAAAAAAAAAAATTGCAAGGAGGTTTTTTTTTTTTTTTTTTTTTTTTGTAAACCATATGTCAGGGGATTTCTCAGAGGTTTTCTAGAAATTCTCTTATTGGAAGTTTTAGAAACACTATCTTCAGTTGTATTGGTGATAATTGATAATTCTGTTGTCCTTTTTAAATTATAATATAAAAAGTATGCATGAGTATGTGGGGGAAGTTGTTTTCAAAAACAAAGCAGTTGGAACTTCTGTAACAATTGTTAAGTGGAAGTAAACAAAGATAAGTCAGCATAAAATTGGTCAAGGTAAAGTAAGTGAAATGAAACATATAATGGTATAGAGTTTTTTTTTTTTTTCTTTTCTGTTTCATTGAAATAAGTAATGTTGCTCTTAAGAGAATATTTTGTATTATTTTCTCCTCTTCTTTTTTTTTTTTCTAGCTTGGGCTCTAGGAAAAGAGCCTTTTATCCCATCTTGTCTTCTAGTCCATTTTGAATCAAGACTCGTTGAGGACTTCTTTGAGAAGAATCTGTGTTGAAGAAGGAAAAAGAAACACTGTTTGAGAGAAGGCAAACAGGCAAAAAGGATGATAGAAGCATGCATTTTTGTTGTATATATAACTCTAAGAGACCTTCCTAGAGTGAAAGTTGAGAACTGAAAAGGGAGTAAATTAAGGAATGACTGAATTTTGTGGATCTTGATGGAAAAACGCTGGCCTTTTTTTAATGTGGTAAAACAGCTGGTGCTTCAGTCCTAGGAATTATGTCTCTGCCATGGGCAGTTATCATAAACTCTTCTCACAATCAGAACCGCTCTTTGTCCTCTGTGAATGATGGCACTTTTGCTTCTATTTCATTAATGCTTCCAAGGATGAATGAAAATATATAGCATCTGCCAAAACCTAAAAATTACAGTTTATCACTAGGGCTCTGTAAGGTACTTCACTTGCAGTTTAAAATTATTTAATGCTCAAAAACAGTCATTGTGGGTTTTTGTCACTAAATATTAATTTTTCAAGATGAAGTATGATGATTTCTATCCATTTTTGTGGTCAATTTTCTCAGTTTTCTTTCCCATAGATACTGTGATGGAACTTAGATTTTATTTTTTACACTTAAATAACTATGTTTTTAATGATACATAATCATATAATTTTTTTGTTTTCCTTGAGGTCTTAACAGATCTTATATTAGTGTATATGTCAAAATAAAAATTTTTACATAGTTAATGTGCTGTAGTATTAAGGATATTGATTTTCTGTTAAATGTTGAGCTTGGTGTTGATATAAACCCTGATCCTAAATTGTAAATTAATACTTGGAAATTAATAAGAGTGTAACTATGCTATATAGAAAGCATCTTGCGAATCGGTTTGTGTGGGTGTTTTTTAAATTTAATTTTTATTAAAAAATTTTTTTTGGTATGTAATTATATTCTTTCAGGTAACTTTTCTGTGGAAGATAAGAGGAAGACTTTGTTTTTCAACCTATAATTGTTTCAGCTCTCCAGGCTAATAATAATAATAATTCTGGGCCGGACACGGTGGCTCATGCCTCTGTAATCCCAGCACTTTGGGAGCGGAGGTTGGCGGATCATGAAATCAGGGGTTTGAAAGCAGCCTGGCCAACATGGTGAAACCCTGTCTCTACTAAAAATACAAAAAATTAGCCTGGTATAGTAGTGGGTGCCTGTAATCCCAGCTTCTTAGGAGGCTGAGGCAGGAGAATTTCAACCCAGGACGCTGAGGTTGCGATGAGCTGAGATTGCGCCACTGTGCTCCAGCATGGGCGACAGAGGGAGACTCTGTGTATTAAAAAAAAAAAAAAAAAAGAATTCTGCAATTTGTTTCTCATTCTTCAGTCATTTAGAAACAATTGTGATGCATTTTGAACATAATATCTCTATAATAAAAAATGTATTTTCAGTCTTTCTCCAAAGAGGATTTCTTGATTGAAAGTCCCCCTTGTACATCAGGTTCTCTTCTGAATGCTGTCTTACTGGCAGGACAGAGTAAATGTGAGTGAATGTGTATACGTAAGGGTGTGACTTTAATATAATCTGACATGGTTTGCACAAGCATGTTGATCACTGCATTGCTTGTAGTAGTAAAAAGTTAGGGATAACTTTAATACACATCAAGAGGGAGAATGGTTGCAGTGGAACATTATGGAGCTCTTAAGTTGGTTCCGTCTGTTGTCGTTAAGGACTGATATTTTAATAAGTGAAAAAAGCAAGTTATAATTCATAAAGTATCCTAAGAAACATTGTATTTCTTTTTTTTTTTTTTGAGACGGAGTCTCTCTCTGTCACCCAAGCTGGAGTGCAATGGCTCAGTCTTGGCTCACTGCAACCTCTGCCTCCTGGGTTCAAGTGATTCTCCTGCCTCAGCCTCCTGAGTAGCTGGGATTATAGTAGCCATCACACCCGGCTAGTTTTTGTATTTTTAGTAGAGACGGGGTTTCACCATGTTGATCAAGCTGGTCTCCAACTCATGACCTCGTGATCTGCCCACCTCAGGCCTCCCAAAGTGCTGGGATTACAAGTGTGAACCACCATTCCTGGCCCAAAAACCTTGTGTTTCTGTAAAACATGTTGTTTATAATTGAACCTGAAGAGAGGTATAATTATATTGATATATAGGATGGAGGATAAAGAAGGAATAGGGATGAATTTTTATTTTTATATTACTACATTGATTTCAGTGAAAATATTATTTTATAAATTTCGAGGAAGAGCTCTAAGAATTGTAGAAAAATCCATAAATGTAATTTTATTGTGTTTTATAACTTTATACAGAAAAATTACAGAAAAATAAAAAACACATGATTTGCTATTACTGTAAAATAAAGAGGATTCAACATTGTTATCCATGGAAACACCAAAGGTGTAGGGGTCACCTTTACCTACAGGAGATGAGAGAGTAAGGATTAGTTTGGACATTTGAAATGTAGTAGAAACTCTTACTGTAGTAAGTAGGTTGCATTTAACCTGCTTTCTCTCCTTAGTCTTCATGCTTTTATGTTCAGGACACTAAATTGCCTGATAGAATTTACTGATTTTATTAGTATCCTTTCTCTCTACCCCATCTCTCCATGCTCCTTCTTAAAAAGGAGCAGGCAAAAGAGGGGTACCCAACAGTGAAGAGAGGAAGATGAATGTTATTTGATTACTGTTTGGGAGAACATACTGAATAGACCCAGGTGTTAGTTCTGCCTTTGGCATTAATAAGCTTATGTGAACTTTGCTCTTGGGATTAAAAATTTCCTTTGACTTGCATTTGTAAAGAAGATAAGAAGTCGGGAATTACAAATCAAGTCCTCCTGAAAATGATTGCATAATAAAGAACCCCTGAATAATAGAGAGTTGATTTAAAAACAGATTATTTCACCTGCCAACAAAACTGAATAACTTTACCTTTTTGGGGGGAGTGGAATTTTAATGCATGTAGTTGTGAAGTTGTGCATTATGTTGATCAACTAGAAAATTCAAATATTTTTCCTTAAAGCCTGATTAATGCTACATAGGGAAAACTGTTACAGTAACAAATACCCGCGACTGTTTGGGATTGCACAATTAGCATCATGAGTTCATAGTGCATACAATGTGAAATATAACCATTTAAAATACAGGGGCAGGTACCAGAGGAGCATACAACAGTAAAGAGAGGAGAAAGATGTGACAGTTGATAGACCTGGAAGTCTCAGAAGTATCAGCTATTATAATGTTGTAGGCAAGATCCTTGAATTTATTTTGTATTATGCCTATGGAATTGTGTGTGTAACTTTAAAAAAAAAATTAACCACAGTTTATTTGAGGAAAAAAAAGTTTGGGATAGTATTATACAATGAAATGTGGAAATATACAAGACATCCAAAAATTTTGGAAAAAATCAGACCGATTTCAGATTCTGTAAGACTTTTTCACAGTAGTTAAGGTTTTTATAAGTGGTTCTGAAAATAGCCAACATTATTCCATAGTTGAGACCATAGCATCCCAAATCCGAAAATCTAAAATCTGAAATGCTTCAAAATTTGAAACTTTTTGAGTGACTAGACATTTTGGATTTTTGGATTTGGTTGCTAAGTATATTGCAAATATTCCAAAAGCCAAAAACAATTGAAATTTGAAACACTTCTGGTCTTATACATTTCTGAGAAGGGATATTCAAACTGTATTACAGTTGATTGGTTTTTTTGTTTCTAGCTGACCTTGGTTAAAACTGTAATTGCATCTCATTTCCAAGCGTCATCAGCCTTTGCTCTTATTTTGGGCAATGACCTCTCAATCTCTCTGGTTGTTTCAAGTTATTTACTACTCTCCAGTAACAGGTATATCCAGTAGGCCCTAAATTATTGATGCTTCTTCTTTATAATATCTTGATTTTTGTGCCTCTGTTTCTATCACTTTTTCCCTAAACATTTCTTATTTGGATTATAATGGCAGCCTCACTCATCTAGTCTTGTTTTATCCAATTCATACCATTCTCTAAGAGATCTTTCTAAAGACAAATCTGATCAAATCACTCTTTTCTTCCTCTGGCAAGTTTAAACATCCTTAGATTTCAGTTTGCAAAAGTAAGATGAGCATAATCACCTACCGTATCGGATGGGGATTTTATAAATGGAAAGAGCTTAGTACTTTGCTTCGCACATAGTGTTAGCTATTGTTATAATTTCTTTCTAGCCCTACCTCTCTCTACTGTTCATTTTCTCTATAGAGGATTATCATAAGCACTTATTGTAATTGACTGTTTACTTTTCTGCCTCTCCCACCACATGGAGTGGGGCGATAAAACCAAATGAATATTTGGAATCTAGTGTGATCTACCCAATAATGAAAGCTACCAGGGTGGGAATGATTCCTGGAGAATATTGGGGAAACTTTTAGAGTGTGTGACAATTTAGCAAGATGTGTAAGGATGAGGAGGAATTCCAAAAGCAGGTGGATTGGGGAGCTTCAGGAGGGGAGTTTCCAGCTGAGTGCAAGTTTTAGATCATTTACAGTAGCAACATCTTAGAGTAGAAGCCTGGATGGTAGAAGAGGAGGCTGCAGAGGTAAGCAGGCTGTCTGATCATAAGAAGTTTCCTGACCATCTGTAGCCCCTTACCTTGTAAAAGGACTATGTACCCGAAGTAGTTTTTCATTTTGCATCTTAGAGGGAACATTCTGGTGCCAGTGTGGAAGAAGAATTGGAGAGAGAGAAAAAACTTGGGACCTGAAGCCCAGGTTGATTATTTAAGGTTGTGGTATAAGTCCAATAATTAAGCCCCAAACTCAAATTCCTTAAGGGATCAGGCAGGTAAAAATGAATGTACTCTAAGGTTTAGAGAGAGTACTGGTTCTGTGGTAAAAGGGAATTCAGCGTGTATTTCTTTCAACCTCACCAAGGAATTCACATTCAAAATTTTAAATACCATTGTGTTACCAAATAAAACAACTTTAACATTGAAATCTCCTGGTCAAAACCAAGATGGTTGCAGCAATGATGGAAATAACATTTCTGTCTTGAGAGACTAGATGGTTGGTTGTGTTATCTGCTAACAACAAGGGAGTATAGGAGGAATCACACACTTGTGACAAGTGAAGAGTTACGTTTGAACATGTTGGATTTGAGATGTTTGTGGAATATCCAAGCAGAGATAGCTTGTACACAGTTGTGAGAAGTTGGCTGGAGAATTAGATTTGGCAAGCCCTCCATGTCATGGAGTGATTTGTTTAAAGAAAAAAGATGTGATAGAAAAGGGCTGAGTTTTAAACTCCCCAAGGAGGTTTTAAACTTGAAAAATGGCCAGTGAGAGGACCAGTAAAGTAAAAGACAGTGATGGTTAGGGTTATGCTGGATGCAAGAAATTAATATTTCATTAAAGAAGAACGTTCAGGGCTGGGTGCGGTGGCTCATGGCTTAATCCCAGCACTTTGGGAAGCTGAGGCGGGTGGATCATGAGATCAAGAGATCAAGACCATCCTGACCAATGTGGTGAAACCCTGTCTCTACTAAAAATATAAAAATTAGCTGGGCGTGGTGGCATGTGTTTGTAGTCTCAGCTACTAGGGAGGCTGAGGCAGGACAATCTCTTGAACCTGGGAGGCAGAAGTTGCAGTGAGCTGAGATCACACCACTGCACTCCAGCCTGGGCAATGGAGTGAGGCTCTGTCTCAAAAAACAAAAAACAAAAAACATTCAGTGTGTCAGATGTCACAGAGAGGTGCAGGAACATAAAAGTTTCAAGGAACCCTTCATATGTGGTAGAGTTGCCACTGGTAAATTTATCCAGAGCAATTTCAGTGGGGCTACAAAACTCTGGATTGTGAAGTACTTGGAGATGAGGACATGCAGGCAGTGATTTTATTTTAGAAGAATTATTTCTTTGTCTTTGCCTTTCATTTAAAGACACTTTCTCAAAACTCAAGTTCCTGACTGACCGATCTAATTATGTATAGGCTGCCTATCTGAAAATAGTAGTATATGGGTTAATTTTATTAATATGAGTATGTTGACAAAAGTCAAGAAAATATAAAGGTAGATATTATTATTTTCAAACTGAGATGCTGCTGAACCAAAGCTAGTTTACAAAGTAAGGTTTTGTATTTATGGACTTACTCATTTACTGTGTTACAGCAGTCTTTGTTTTGTGAAACTCCAAGGAGACATTTTCTACACATT